TTTTATTGAACACCCGTTAGTTGGGAATCTCTCAAAAACTGTTTACGTGCTTGGACAGCCCTTTACAGGAAATAAATACATGTACATTCATTCATGTTACATCGGTTCTTGGAAAAGGTTTTATGCATGGTAAGTTTTTAAAAAGTGACTTATGATCAACCGGAAAAACCAGCAAAAAAATTACTAGCGGATAAAGAAAAAAATAGTAGTAGTGATGATTTTTATTTTGTTTTTAAGAGAATTTAACTACATATACTGTGATTTATCCCTGATTAAATCAATTTGATTTCCTCTAATTAGGTTTATTTTAGCTATCCCCCAGGGGCTGCAAATGCTGTAAAATATGTTTTATTTGAATCAAGAATGACCTTAAATCAGACATGCAAGAATTAATTAAATTTCAGATAACTGCACAGATTCGATTTGCCAGCTCATCTGTTTGTCTTCCAAATTAGCTCTATCGTATTCAGATGCATTTTATACAAATTGAATTTTAGTTTTTCCGGTTTAATGGAAACAGATAAATATGATAAAATACCCCTCCAGCACAAGTTTTAAATATTGCGGTTTTAAAGCATTATCCAAACCTAAATTGTTGCTTGGGATATGGATTATTGTTTCGGATAACCTTTGAACTTTTGGGCTGCAGTCTGTAGTTGTAAGATCTGTATCTGTTGTTTTCAAAGGAACTCAAAAGAGAAATGCAAGGAAATTGCAAGCAGAATAGTTGACAAATAAAAAAAAACTTAACGGGAAGGATCCGCATTCTACCCTAGAGGCATAAATTCATCCAAATCTCCTTCACCTTCATTGAAAGAATACTATAGTAATCGAGTACAACAAACTTAAAAGCTATTAATTGTCACATACCTCTACTTTTGCTTATTTCCTAAACTATTCCGCTACTTGTTATTCTACTAAATGCTTTTGGTCTGCCTGCGTTTTCTTTTTAAAGTTCAAGACTAAATAAGAACTTCAGTGACCAGCAAATCTCGATTAGAAATTTTCCTGTGTTACTCCCGGAATTTTGGAGATTATCGCGGTTAAGGTATTTTAATTAGCGTTAGTGTTGTTATGATATACTTCGTAGATTGGATACTAGCGACACTCACGTCTCTTCTGAAATTCTCAGTTAGACTACTTCCAGTAATAATGCTGGGGAGTAAACATTGGTTCCAATCTAAACAAGAGTAACAGAAGCATGACTGTCGCTATTTCCGGCCACGCCCATCTTTACCATAACTAGGGATAGGGAAGGAAATGTTGATGTAGTACTTACTTAACGAGAGACCACCGACTTAGCGACACCCTCATAAGTGCTACGGAGTTGGAGGGTTGGGTAGGGTATTCGGTTAGGATTCACCTCAAGTTGGCGATGCAACCAAAAGTATGTATTGTTTATTTGTTGTTTATTTAATCTCTCGATAGCCGGTTATCGAAAGAATATATTCATTTTGTTTAGTGATCATGAACTTTAAGAGTCAAGACGGAAAGCTTGGGATTAAACCAATGATATTCTGCTCAGTAAGCAAAAACGTTCCCTCCAGGGTCATCGAGCATCTCAGAACCAAAACGGTTCGCGACAATACAGGACTACGTTTTCGCTTGATATGCAAATAGTTTCCGAGGTTAATGTTCAATATCAAATATACAAATGATGGTGGCGATTTATTGTACTGTGGAAGAACTTGGGGTTAAATCCATGATTTTCTGCTCAGTAAGCAAAATCGATCCCTTCAGGGTCATCGAGCATCTCATAATCCACAGGTGCTAAACTACAGAAACATGAATTAAGTTAGTGAGATAATACGATTAAGCGGAAGACTTGGCACAAGCATAATGTCATCAATAAAAAAATAAATTAATATGAATGCTTTAAAAATTACTGCTGTTGTTTGCTCATCTAATCAATAGCTGGTTTTCAATTACCTGTATGTATGTATGTATGTAAGAAGCTACCATCCTAGCTTGGGTCTTGCCCTGCATGCGGCTCCACTAAACAGCATGATCAATTTTCGTAATCATTATGAATTCAACATACTGCTGTATGAAGGTCCCTCCCCTTGGCTAGTTTTTGCACCTTGCTGTTGGTGGGCGGGCTTAATTTCATGCTTTATAGTGGAGTGTTGGAGACGATAGGTTTATGGCCGGCGTTGCTGGCTCATGCCACGATAGAATGGCGTCATGGGCAGGCAATGGGGATTACTAAGCTTCCCTTCTCTGATAAACCACTGCATGAGAGAACCAAAGATCTAGTCTAGCAGTGATAGTATCACACTTGTTACTCCTTTAATTGAGAGCCGCGTCGTAGTACGCTTACGTATAGGCACTGACGTTGGGTGTGATACTGGCGGGTTTTGCCGCAAATCACTCTTATTTTATTTATTTTTACGCAGATAGATTTATTTGGGTTTTGCAAGGGAATTATACAATTGAAATATTTCAGAAAGTGACCAACAGTGATCCTTCTATTTACGTGACAAGCTTTCATTGTTGTTTTCATTGGCAACAATGTTAAACATCATTTTTGTACACGGTATTGTAACTAATCTTATATGTGCTTCATTTTGATTTGGGATAAGTGTTTGAACTATGGCTCGAGATTTCCACTGTGGTGTGCTTCTATTGTGACATACCCATATGTACTCTTGTGGTGCGACATAGTGGAAACGTGTGAGTGTAGTTGGAGCATATACCCTATATAATTTAAAATCAGCTAGGAAACTAACTTCAAAATGAAGCATTTTAGTCACTTGAAGGTGTCACCTGGGTCGAACTAAGATATAATAAATAGGTATAGGTCAAAATCAAAAGTACTTGAAACACGTTTAATTTTAGATTACAAGCACAAGTGCAGGTACTTAATAAAGCATGGGTTATGCTTGATTAGGTGAATTAAAGCTTTTAATAATTTATTAAATTAGACTAATGAGATATCATAATCATCAAATGAACTTAAATAAGAAACTTCAGAAAGTCTAATGACATTAAGTAGATTAACAAAAGAATTAGGATGCGGGGGGTCCGCTTAGGAAGGCAACTAACCTTTAAAGTTGTAGAATAAATCTTCTTATTTAGTCTTGAACTTTAAAAAGAAAACGCAGGCAGACCAAAAGCATTTAGTAGAATAACAAGTAGCGGAATAGTTTAGGAAATAAGCAAAAGTAGAGGTATGTGACAATTAATAGCTTTTAAACTTTTGGAGGTATTGTTTTCCCCTGAGTTTGTTGTACTCGATTACGATAGTATTCTTTCAATACGCGAAATCTCTTATATATGCGGTTAAAGCATTTGAGTTAACTTATTTCTTAGTGTTCAAGTACTTACATTTGTATACAGCAGTCAATGTTAATCTATGAACTAAACCATACGTAAAATCGATCTTTCCTTATGTGGTATTGATGCATGTTTAACTTTTCGCGGCTGTCGGAATCAACGCGCCTACGTCTACGGAGCTTACGCAGAAGTGATTCGCAATGCACCATTGCTGGATCTTGAATTTGGATCTGCGACAGGTTCGTCTTCACAATTTGTGTATGAAAATTTCGCTCAAAACTTTACAGGCTTTTATTTGATTGTTCTTAAGCCTTTCCTTTAAATTAATTTCTTTCACAGAGATCTTTCCAGAATTCTACTAAAATAATATTTAAATTCTCACTGTAGTACATAGTACATACATTATCTGTAGAAAACTCCAAAAATTCTTAAAATTCATCCTTTCATCGAGCTAACTCTTTCTAAGAATTCACTGGAGCTTCATTTTTTTTAATTTGCATGAGGTTTACAATGAAGATCTAGAGTACTCAATACAGCCACTCCATGCTGTCAAAGCAATGCTTGTCTACGTATCTTTGAATCATTATGCAATCATAAAAGTGCTACTCCAAGCAATAAAAAAAAACCTCCCAAGCAAAACCATTATCCTAAATTCTCATTTAGTTAGTTCTCTGAGCTAATCAAGCTGTTAAGAACACAATAAGGAACAACAACTAGAGGCTCTGGAAACATCTCTTCGCATACGTAAGGGCTCGACATTGATCAATTGGCAGCGATTCTCGTAGCTTGGAAGGGGTAGTGGGTATCTTCAAGGCAGCTTACGGAGCGTGAAGTGAAGAATACGTCGTTGAACAGATTCAATTCGCTCGGCCCCATTATTGTAGTTCGGGCTCCAGACTGCAGAGCAGTATTCCAACGTAGATCGTACGAGAGAGCAATAGAGCGATTTCAAGCAGTAAATGTCTGTGAAGTTCTTAGTAATCTTGAAGACACAGCCAAGCGTTCTGGACGCTTTTTCGACGACATACGATATATGGTGTGAGTATGTCAGCTTTCTCATTTAGTTAGTTCTCTGAGCTAATCAAGCTGTTAAGAACACAATAAGGAACAACAACTAGAAGTATTAAGAAAAAAAAAAATAGACAAGGCAAGTCAATTGATCAACTCAGTTGAATTCAGTTTAAAAATCTGAGGAAACATGAAAGATGTTTCCGCGGAAAATAGGTGATTATCAGACGCACAAAGTGACTTTCGAAATATGTATGTAGGAATACGCTTTCTGTTAATTCGGGTGAAGCCAGAATTCTTCTTGGAAAAATGAACAATCTAACAATAAATCAGGCTACTGGATAACAGTCTTTCCCGATTCCTGGGTAGAAACGATCGGCAAATGGAAACTCTGTATAGTTCTCTCAACTTTGTCCGAAAAAATGTTCCAACTTCATTCGGTAATCTCAAAATGAGATTTTGGAACATCAGACGGACGCCATCTGGCCATGAAGCCAGACTACAATGCCTGGTTTGCCGGTACAAAATAAAGCGAAATGGTTACGTGACAGGATGCAAGCACGCATAAGCGTGCTTTCCTTCTTCTCTGATTACAAACGAAATGTCACAATCCACCTGTGCATGCCAATGGGGATAAATCAGTTAGTCAACAGGAGTAGAAACAGAGAAACAGGTACAGGAAAATGTCGTATCTAGTTAGTTAGATTGCTACTCACTTGATAAACATGTGAATCCCGGTAGTCTCCATCGCTCGGCTGATGCCTTTCCACGAGGCCACCATGGTGTATTTCTGTTTGGCAGTGAGCGGCAACCGGCTGTCCGTTGGGGGTGGTCCACAGGCGTCCAAACTCGGGACATTGTTACCTTTGGAGCTCCCGTTACTACTGGCTAATTTCGTTAGTTCACAACCCATGGCGCTGATGCTGTTGCTTTCCTATTTGTGTTTGTGAGTGTGTCGGTGTTTGTGTGCTCTTGCCTGCGAGTGTGTAAAAGCTTCCGCTGATAATCGATTAGTTTTGCTGCTGCTCCTTGCGACTGCAGCCTGAGCCTCCGAAGGAAGAATAAAATGTGAACACTATTTTCTCCACTTCGCTACTGGCAGCCTTCAACAAACTCCATCACACCATCCTGGTCTGCTGACGAACGACGAGGCTTGCACACTATGACGCGAACAACATCGACCGGGGACCGACCAGGAAAGAGTATCCTGTATCAAATCATGAAGGCAATTTATTTCCCCGGTCCAAGGTCCTAGCAACGACGATGCACACGCTCTCTAATTAATGCTCTCACTCTTTACCGGGTGCACTTATAGTAATTGGAAAATAACACTTTACACTTTGCTTTTGCACTCCCACAATTGCTGCTGCTGTGGTGACCAGAATTAATCTCGGGGCCCAAGCGCCTTCACTCACTCACGTAATTCCGTAGCGCTCCAAGGAGGACTCTGTTCTGTCCTGTTGTTCGCCGTTCGTTGACGTGTTTGGTGTTGGGAATATATACCTTAGCATCAAAACAGATTGTTTTCCTCCTAGTCCAGACGTACGTACGTGTGCAACTCACGATTCTCACGGTTTTTCTCTCTCACGTGCCCTGGAAATATTTTGCTTTTACACTTGCTTGCACTTGCGATTCACCCAAATAAATATAAAAAAAAGTATGCAAACATACACGGAAACCAGTGCAACTGGTCTGTTTAGCGGCAGCTTCGTCCGGGATCAGTTTACCACAACAACAACAACAAGCTCCCCGACAAACACGCACGGTGTACGGTATTTAAAAATTGATTAGCTGTCAGTCGTCGTGGAAAGCCACCGGGCAGAATCTATGAATGAAAGGCCCATTTCTGCAACGCACTCACTCACTGTCTCGGATTGGGTACCTACAAAAAGGAAAAACCATTCGTCGTCGTTGACGTCTCGATAACGTTCACTCTCAATTATGTATATGCATAGAACATAACCGACGACGCCTGGCAGTTGGCCATGCGATGGAACGATGAACTACCGTCGAGAGTTTCAGACTCACTCTTCACCAGTAGGGACACTGAGCAGGCCTTGCATATGTGTACATATATACGATTCCCGAGGGACTAGCATCGTTTTCACACGAACAAGGCTGCCAGATGAGACCTGAACCCGAGGCAGCTCAATGAAAGGCTTACTGATAAGACCTCTGGAGTTAACGTTCCTTTTTTTCCTATTCTTCTTGGATTGCAACCTGCTCCACTGTCGAGTAGACGAAGCGCCCACTCCACCACTACCCGATCGAACCGAGTACTATTGTGATTCCTTCACTCACTCACTTTTTGCTAGCAAAAATGGCTCCGGGCTACCTTCCAGGACTGAAAACACGTATCCAGGAATGCCACCAGCAGCAAATTGCTACGGAACGCAAAAAATCTCAACAATCCGTACGTGAGATAAACAACGATTCTATTCACGAAAAAACCCTTTTCTTCTCATCAATACTTTATTCTCGAGAGCGCGGTGCCTTCGAAATTGATTTTTCCGAACTTAATTTCCCGTTCGTACCACCTCTTCCTCCTTCTCCGGAGTTACTGTGCTACACGAAGGCAAAATTCCCGAAAGTGCCCGTTTCCTCGTTCACACCGTCGTCGACAGCAACGACAACGATGACTACTGCAACATGTCCTTCTTAGCCATCCGTGAAACGGGACCCAAAACACACCATCCACCAAACCACCTCCGACTCCGACTGACTGACTGTTTGACTGAGTTGGATGTGGGGCATGCTTGCTACACACAATCCGACGGATATCTACCTGCTGCTGTGGCCGCGACTGTTGTTCATTCAACACTAACCCCCAGCTTCGAGTCCTGGCAACTTTGTATCCAACCGGCAGCGACGAACGTCTCTCACGCTCTTACCGATACGCGCATGTTTACCGCTCACTGCACATCGGGATGAACCGTGAGTGCTTCGCACTCGTTTCGTCAGTAACTTGGCGAGGGAATGCTATATATCATAGCACAACCACCCACTCGCTCACATTCCGGGCTCTTGAGCGCAACCAAGAACCATGTGATGGCTGCGGTGGTGACGGAAACGAAGGAGACGCATGGTGGTCCAGCTACTCCAGACCAGGTGGACAGGTTTTCCCTACGCGGACGGGTGGGAGCGATGATCTAGTAGGTCGTTATACTAGCTCACTAAAATGAGACGGAATGAAAAAATAAAATGCAATAAATACTGTGACTTTCGTGTATGATGCGGTTGGGAATGATGGTGACGGAATCGTGACAGCCATAAATTTATCGAATGATATAGGTTGGGACACATGCGGGGTGCTGTGTGTGGCTTTTGGATGAAGCCGAGTTATACGTGCAATAGCGCAGCACACACGACGAACGATTTTAATATGGAATCACTTTAGAGGATCGTTGATTGATTCCGATCACGCATGAATCGAATTATCGTTCATAAATGGTTAATGGACGTCACACGAGATGTACAGTGATAGAGAATCCCATTGTATTCTGTTAGTAATCGTTTCTTTCAAGCACCTAATAGCCTGGAGCTGCTGTTTTTGGGATTCTTAAGTAGATTGTTGTTTGATTGTTGATACGTAAGTATAGCTTACTTGGTTTGAGATGCATTATAGAGATATCACGAGGAAGAAAAACTTAACTCATTCCAGTTAGTATAGACAGGGATCAGGGCTGTGGAAAAATATTCCGACTCAATCTCCAAAAGTATGTTCACTGATTTTAAATCCGACGACTTTTTCTCACCCTCCTTCTTCCAAAAATGACTGGAAAATCAGGGGGTAAAAAAAGGATTTCTTTTATGGGAGGCAACCCACAGTATCCATGTACTGATTAAACCGTTTTACGATACGCGTCTGATCAGACTGTAGATCATGACAATTTAACTTAACTTCTAGCAACTTTATAAGCTTGTTAGAGTTGTAGAATTTGAAAGAAAATATAGAAACTTGCGTTTTGATCATCGCATTTTTGATACTTCCACTAGAGGATTTTCTCCAGTAGTAACACTTCAATCGTTTATCGATTTTAGAGTATTCAAGGAGTATCCACCGAAAAATTTAAAGCACCGGCAAACCAACGTGGTGCTTATATCAATAATCTGGACAAAATTTCTTCACTAGCTCCTCCTATTCTACCGTGGACACATCTTACAGCTTGTTTACGCTTTTCGTTGGAGCATGCATATGAGTTCTGGTCAGTAATGCTACCAGATTTGTCTGAAATGTTACAATTTTTCAGTTTTCATACACATGTAACACAAAGTTCTGTCCACTATTCAATTCCATGGTCTTTGCAGAAGTGTCAAATCTTTTTTGAAACAAAATGCAGAAGTTACAGCCATAATACTGAACCTACCGAATGCGTAGCGATGCTGTGACACAGCAGGCCTGTCCCGTTGCTGAGAAGTGAGCTTGTAAATGTAAAGCTTTTGGAATTTTGGTATTATGACAGTAAAAATTGTGTGGACCTATAAGCAAAATTTACATTACATGCTGTTTTTCAAATACCTCAACGAAACAAAATCCTAAAATAAATGAATGATTCGCAAACAGTGTATTTGACGCATTTCGCGCCAAATCGTATTCGGAGCTGGCAGCACCCTCTCAGATTTCAATGAAACTTTCTGGATGTGTGGACCTTGACGAAATATGCCACTTTGCATACTTAGTTTTTCCAAAATTTATCTAGACTAACATTTGAGAAGGGCCAAACTTTATCTGCCGATTTTTTTCAAAAAAATATTTTGGAAAAATGACAACTCCTACAAAAATATGTTGTATGGATGACTTTTAGGAAATTGTCCAAGTTATCGAAAAAAAAATACTGGAAAAAATTTCATTTGAGAGCTACACTGAAAAAAATCGATTTTTAAAATTTAAAGTCGATTTAAAAAAAATGGCCATGTTTGATTTGAATGAAACTTTGCCTCAAGATAGGTAATTATGTTTACTACCAACCGTCCATACGTTGCGAGATGAGCACTTTTAAGGAAATTTTTTTTTCTTACAATAACTTTTTCATATCTGAACTGATTTTTTTTTATTTGCCATTTTCACACAAAACTAAACCGGTGAAGCACAAAATCATCTCAGAATCCAATGAAGCTCAATTTGCGATTCAATTTTGTCTAATCAGCACTTAAGTTCACTTTGATTAATCGAGAATTTTATATGAAAAGGGCTCATGATGCATTTCTCGCCAAATCGTATTTGGAATTGGCAGCACCCTCTCAGAGTTCAATAAAACTATTTGAATAAAACAGCAAAAAAAGTTACCTTCCATTTAATTCCACTCAATTAATTTTGGTATCCATGACAGATACGTATTTCGACTACAATGTGCAGTCTTCATCAGTGTCATTCCCACTAAAGAACTTATCAAAATCTAACCTAGCATTCCGCTAACAACCCAATTTCATTACTTCATTATGATGGCTACCAAGCCTTTGGGGATTTTCCTTATTAGAGAGTTGTATAGATTTTTCTCCTTTAGCTTACTTAAATCTTTGGTTTTTATTAGTTAGGTAGGTTCCGATTCAACACCTTGTAGTTTCATTTTTATACCTATGATCTTGACTTTTTTACCTAGGGGATGAGTACTTAAGGAGGTTAGATTTTGATAAGTTCTTTAGTGGGAATGACACTGATGAAGACTGCACATTGTAGTCGAAATACGTATCTGTCATGGATACCAAAATTAATTGAGTGGAATTAAATGGAAGGTAACTTTTTTTGCTGTTTTATTTAGCATTCCGCTAACAACCCAATTTCATTACTTCATTACTTCAAAACTATTTGGACATGTAGACCTTGTCAAAAAAATATCATTCCATTATTCTGTTGTCTATTACTGATGCAAAATTTGATAATATGTGAGAGAAAAAAGACAAGATTTTTCATATATCATTTATTTATATATTTTCAATGTTTTAAACCTATTTTCATACATGCTATTTTTTCCTTTTTCCAATCAAGTTAAATATTTTTGGTTCATCTTCTGAATTAGAATACCTTTTTGCCGCTACTTTGTCACCAGTTATAGACACAAAACTGTGGAATTTCTGTATGCCAGATATTGTCTTTGTGCTGTTATATAGTTCTTCGAGTTCTTCTGACATTTCGATGTACTGTTCAGTGGATATGTACTCGAAACGTAGTTTTGTGATATTTTTATCTGTTTGTTCAACTGCCGAGTTATATAATTCTCGTGGAGTTGTTATGGTGTTTCCATAATTTCGAGCAAGACTAGCTCTCTTTGCCATTCGCTTGAGAGTGCTACCAAGGGCATCACAGGGACCTTTTCCATGAGACGTTGCAAAAAAATGCCATTCTGCTTCTAATCCATGCTTTGACTGAAACCTACACAGACTAGCAAATATTATTTTTTTTTATTTTTGTATTTTGATGCTGCCCCATCTGACATAAAAGTAATTTTAGAAAAATCTATCGATTGTTTAATAAAATCTATCATTTTAGAGATGAACAACTGAACTGCAATTAGTTTTTTTTTGTATCATCGTTGATCCCATACCCACTTCTTTTGTTGGGTGTACTTAGAATACCCTGCTCATTACAAAGCTCTTCACTTGCCTCACCATGTACGTTGGTGCGTTGAATTCTGCTTCAACTTTATTCACGGACCAAGACTTTGGCAATACTGATAATACTGTTATCTGATCTTTTCTGTCAGCTGTAGGGGAATTGAACTTCTCCTTTAGCTGTACAATCATTTCTTCGTATGCCTCTACTCTGCTAATGTCTGCTGTATCTAGGCTAAATATATTTTTTCGCACTGCTTGTGTAATTTCTAGAGATTTTATTGGACGATAATCCATGCTCCTCATGTTCCTCGATGAAATCGGAGATAAATTTAACGTTTCCACTGCTTGTATGAAATCAACCTTAGTTTTATAGTGCTCATAGGTAGAATGAAGTGGTAGGTATATAATGTTAATGGTTTAGGTATAAATAACAGAAGGGCATATAGAATTATGATGCGATACGTTGACTTCCCAAATCGTTGTTGATTCGAAAGAAGATCTCAATTTAAATTTTATTCATACCTAATTCTTTATGGATAATTTGAGCTAAGAATTCTAAGTTGCTATAGGAGTATCGAATTTTGCTTCAGTAGTAGACATATCAATTATATTATTTTCTAATGATATAAGCCCTTTTCATATGGAATTCTCGATTAATATAAGTGATTAGTTGCTGATTAGACAAAATTGAATCACAAATGGAGCTTCATTGGGTTCCGAGATGATTTTGAGCTTCACTGGTTTAGTTTTGTGTAAAAATGGTACGTTAAAAAAATCAGTTCAGACATGAAAAAGCTTTTGTAAGAAAAACTTGTTTTCCTTTAAAGTGCCCATCTCGCGATGTATGGACGGATGCTAGTAAACACAATTACTTATCTTGAGGCAAAGTTTCATCCAAATCAAACATGGCCATTTTTATTAAATCGACTTTAAATTTTAAAAATCGATTTTTTGCAGTGTAGGTCTCAAATGAAATTTTTTCCCGTATTTTTTTTCGATAATTTGGTCAATTTCCTAAAAGTCATCCATGCAACATATTTTTGTTGGAGTTGTCATTTTTCCATAATATTTTTTGAAAAAAAATCGGCGGAAAAAGTTTGGCCCTTCTCAAATGTTAGTCTAGATAAATTTGGGAAAAACTGAGTATGCAAAAGTGCTTATTTAGTCAAAGTCTACACATCCAGAAAATTTTATTGAAATCTGAGAGGGTGCTGCCAGCTTCGATTCGATTTGGCGCGAAATGCATCATAATTGATTTGGCGCAAGCACCTGGAAAATCCTCAACTCTCTCATCGGGACATCGGAAAACAACTCGGAATCGTGCAGTCAACGGAATCGTGAAAGCGTTTAAGCGGAAACCCAATGCTTCGGTCAAGGATGTGGCCAAAAACTTTAATCTGTCCAAGTCTTTCGTTCAGAGAGCCAAGGACCGGAAGGTACAAAGTGCAAAAGGCTCCAAATCGCGAAGAACGGCAAAATACGGTGGGAATGTCACGGGCCCGGAAACTGTACACACAGATGCTGACGAAGCCTCATTGTCTCATCATGGATGATGAGCCCCGGAAGCTGCCGGAAGTCCGTCTTGACGTAAGTCTCTCCGGAAGCTTCCGGGGCTACTGTT